CAACCAAGGACTATACATGGAGATAACCTAAGACCCCTGCACAGATATAGCCCATGCCAGTTCAGTATCCAAGTGGGTTCCATTGTAATAGGAACAGGGACTGTCTCTGACATGAACTGATTGGCCTGCTCTTTAACATCTTCATTTCTGGAAAAGATGGAATTCTTCCAGGACTAAGTTTTCTTTCCGTTGCTGCTACATTCCCTCGGTGCTCACATTTGCTTGGTTTTGAAAATATTTTACTTGCAAGTGGAATTTGTACAGTATTTTGTTAAACTTTCTACTAGTTAACCTCACTTAACCATTAGTCATTATGATCAAACGGTGCCCTTTAAGTGGTGCATTGTTTCATTATATTTTGCAAATAAGAGGCAGTTAACTGTCCAGGGCATGGTGGTTATAGAAGCCCAGTCATGCTCTCATTCAGAATGCCTTGGAGCATTTTGTGATTTACTGTACATTCTCTAGATCTTCCACATCAAAGGTGTAAGATTTTAAGTCACCAATGTCTTCCCCCTCATCCATTTTAAAATACCAAAACAGAGGGTCTCTTTTACATTGGAGCATTTTTTTCTTTATTTCCTCTTTTACATACTCTCAATACAAAATTATTATTAAAGCCTTTGTAATGTGGAAATGTTTAATAAAGATGTGACCTAGTCTTAAATCTGTTGATTTTGATAAAATTATTCCATAAAGCCATCATTAATGAAGGTCTTTGTGGTAAATTCAAACTACATAAAATATAGAAAGATGTTATATATTACAAATAACTAATAGGGATAAAACACTTAGATACATTCACTGAGACACATGAAAAAAATTTGAAATGTGCTCTAAAATGAGACCCCTATGAATATTCTTATATCCTGGGGCCTACCATATGTATAGTGTTTGTGAGAAGAATGATCAGCTGTGGGCTCGGTAGGTGTCTTGGTGGGTAAGTGTTTTTACACGAGCTTGAAGAACTGAATTTGGCCTCCTAGCACTCCTGTAGCCTGGTACATGTCTGCAACACCATGACTGTGGGAAGGGGAAGGATCAGGGACAGGACTTGCAGATCAGAAAGTGTACCAAAATGGTGAGGTCCAGTCTCACTGAGAGACTCTATGTCCACAACTAAGGTGAAAGGCAATAAAGGAAGACAGCCAACATGGACTTCTGGCTTGTATACACCTCGCTCTAGGAACACACATATACCACTCTAAAGAAAGTGATTGGGTGTTAGTCAATGTGTGTCTCAATGATTCTGAAAGCATATAAGTTGTATGTGTAATGCTTATCTTAAGATGTCTAAGAGAAAATGTGTGTCCCTGAGCAATATAGAAAATGTTAGTATGTGCAATGACTGATGGGTGAATCTGGAAACAGCTGGGACTTGCAGTGTTCTCTTGGGCACTCATATAAGAGGGTTTACAATAAAACAGATTTGTTTTCTCATTAATTTTTCCGTATTTTGTATCACTGGAAATTCGTTGATGTTACCTAAAGCTATGCTTATGTATAGTAATTCTTAGTGTTAATGGGTGGTATGTAAATCTGAATTACTGTGCCATGAGTATATTACATAACTAATATTTAGGTAGCTGTAGTTTTCACTGTTAACTTCTCAGGCCTTTAATTTTGAAGTATTTCTACATTTGGGAAGTGAAAGCTACTGACTCAATTAGTCTAGAAGGAATCTTAAATACTTCCTCTTAGCATTCACAAATTGTAAACATTTTAAGGACTAAGAGCAGAATTATTTATTGTTCTTTCATCTCCAATAACATGTGTTCTGTGATCTTGACTTAAGTGTATGGTGACAGGAACATTATTTTAATTATTGATGCACAATCCTGATGAGTTATATGTCTATTCTAGACATTCTTCATCTGTATTCAGTCAACCATATGACAGAAACTAGGGCAGAGGAACCAAAGTAGCATTTGAAAATTTATGCTTATGTCTCATTTGCATATGACAGTAGTTAAGTTAAAGAAACAGAGTGATGGCTGAAGTTATCCCAGTGTATTTCAGCCAGTGTGAACTGTTTGTCAATCAAAATGGAAACAGTGTAGCTGTTTCTATTTAACATCCATAAAATATGCACATGTTCAGGTCACTTACTGGTAATAACTAAATGAAAGGGGTCACTTACTGGTAATTCTTTCCCACTTATGAGTAATGTGAACTACCAACAACAGGTCACACTGATCGGAAAATAATTTTTGAGATACCTACTCTCACATCTTCTAATCTTGCACACAAAAATAGTTTTCACAAAACTAAACTGCCAGGTAGGAAGGTTAGCAGACGTACTTAAGTAATTCAGAAGAACCATGTCCAGCCTTTCTCTTGTTATCAGGATGCCGTTGTCAATGGCCTCTTCCTCTTTCCAAAGAAAAGACAGTCAGTCTTAGGAGAAAAGACGTAGTGTAAATTCAGACCATCCTTAGGCAGAGCTGTATGTAGGTAGACCTGGGAGTGAGAGTATAATGAAAGCTATTATACCTTCCAGTCGCTATACCAACAAATGATAGGGCTTTGTGATTCAATTTGAATAAATTCTTTTTAGTTTCAGTAGTTGCACTTTGATCTTTATGTGATTTCTTGTGTTTGGGTATCCATACTAAAATATATGTGTTGAATTTGTATAAAATGTAGAATGCACTACAAAATGATTGACAAGTGGGAGACCTGAAGGCACAGAGGAAACAGACTAGGCATGAGTTGGTTGTTCAAGTTGGGCAGTGCATATACATGGGTTCATTATACTCTGTATTTTAATTTGCTACAATAATTTTTAAATTCTATTATAAATAAAATGTCCACATAGGACTCAGAAATCTTCTTTCCATTCATTTGCCACACATTTTTTGTTACAGAGAGCGTGAGTTTTTGTTTTTTTTTTTTGTTGTTGTTTTTTAGCTCACACATGAAAAGCTACCTTTTTTGAATGACTCAATGTAATGTAGATCTATACAGAAATGCCAATACAGACACACAGTACAGATTTTAACCTTTATAGTAAGGAGATTTCATCCTGATGATAATATGAGTTGACTGTTCCCTTAAATTTCGGGTTCTTTTTCTCAAATCAAAATAAGAAGGTTTAGATTTCTTTAAGGTTTCTCAGTGTTAAAAATACCAAAGTAAGATTACCGAAAATGGAAGAATTCAGTCTTGTTTTTATTGTGTGTGAAATTATGGGTCACAAAGCATTTATGTCCATCAGTTCTGAACATGGCTGGTATATATGCACTCTCTCTCTCTTTCTCTCTCTCTCTCTTTCTTCTCTTCTCTCTCTCCCTCTCTCCCTCTTTTTCATCCCCTCCCTATCTCTCTCTTCTAAAGATAGATAGATAGATAGATAGATAGATAGATAGATAGATAGATAGATGATTTTACTATTCCAAAGTTTTTTTTTTAATTGTGTTAAAACATATAAATAAGGGGATGTTGCAGTTTCTTTTCATTAAGTAATCCAATGACCTTTTTTCCTTTCCTTTTTGATATTACATATTGCAAAAAAGGTATTTAGTTTGTAAGTCCAAGAAAAGTTAAAGGAAAATATAGGCCAGTGGTATCTGCTTCAAAGTAGACTGGTGTCTGGTGTCTGTTCAGTGAGAGAAGAGGAAGAGAATTTTTCAATACTTTTAAACCCACAGTGTTGAAGGCAGGTGAACAATGTGCCAAGTGGGTACAATACAACAGGCCTGAGTTAAATACTGGATCGCTTCTGTATATTTGGCTGCAAAATAAGACTAATTTATCATGTTTGTTCCTTCACCTTTTGACTTTTGGAAATGTAATACTAAATTGATTGTATAATACAAACTTCCAAGGTGCTGAAATGTCTTCTACCTCCTGTCTCTAGAAGGCAGGTAAGAGAACATCTCATTTTGTCTGCTCCCCATTGTGAATTTTTAATACTCTCAGAACTTAAGAGACATGAATTTGGAAAGCTCAACAATACCTCTAGCGATCACTAATAAATACATTTCTAGCCCAGAAGTATTTGAACAAATCTTTTGAAGCCTCTAATTTGAAAGCTGGGTTGGGAGATAATTCATATACAGTGTTAGATTCCATATGAAAAAAAATCAAGACAATAGGCTCTGCAATAGTCAGCTTGCCACTGATGAGGGAAAACTTTCTAAGATAAATCCACTTAAGGAATGAACACTTCATTTTGGCTCATGGCTTTGGAGGGTTCAGGCTGTGGTTTGTTGGCTTCAATGCTTTGGGCCAGTGATAAAGCAAAGCTGTTCACTTGTTGCCGTCTAGAAAGCAGAGAGAAGGATTGGAATCGGACAGTGTTCTAACTACACCTTCCTGGGTACACCGAGTATGCCTCAGTGTCCTCCACTGAGCCTCATGTCGCAAAGGTGACACTGTACACTGGTTACTGAGCCTTCAATGCGTGAGCCTTTTAGGGGATATGTGAGATGTAGACCATACAGCTTTCAGCGTAGATGGTTACTGCTCAAGTCTATTCTATTTTCCCAACTCATTCCTTATTAATCAAGATTTAACAAACTCTACTGGATTTCAGGAGAAATATTTACCCACAGTTAATATGCACAAGAACTTTTCCAAAGTAGATTTCAAATAGGTTGCTTTGATTATTATTTATTATTGCTTTAGTCATTTTTAATTTTGCCAAGATGTTCTTTTTATAGAATATTTAATTAGCCTTGTTATTTTGAAGAGGGACATAATTCATTTTTCAGTATCTGAAGACTGAAAAGCCTTGTTCATTAGAATTACAAATGAATGCTTGTGAAAATTAAGTTAAGCTCCTTTAGCAGTTCAAGCTTTTTTTTTTTTTTAAGGAATTTTACATTTTGGTAAATTTAATGCCAAGGTTGTCTGAAAACCTCTTTGACTCTTTGACTCAACTGCTTCATCAAGACATCTCACCCGTGATCCACAAACTCGTTAAACATTTCGTAGATGTACAACCTTGAGACTTCTCTGGATTATTTTGAACTAGTCAGTGTGTTTTCTTTGTTTAGGAGTCCGATGGCCAAGGCTGCCCCTTCTGCCGCTGTGAGATAAAAGGAACTGAGCCCATCATTGTGGACCCCTTTGATCCCAGAGACGAAGGCTCCAGGTGCTGCAGCATCATTGACCCTTTCAGCATGCCCATGCTTGACTTGGATGACGATGATGATCGAGAGGAGACCTTGATGATGAACAGACTGGCAAGTGTTCGAAAGGTAAACCAGAATACAAGGTTTAGGGAGCAGTGTGGAAAGTTGGCAAAGACTGTAAGAGCCAGAGGACTGTGGATCTTCTCCTCCTTCTGTAATCTCAGAAGCTACACCCATAAAGTCTCTCCAGCATGACTGCCTAAATATCAGCTGAACAAGGACAACAATAAATATACCAGAGTGAACAGGGGAAAGACTGTGAAGCCACAACCCTACACAAATAACTAAAGACGGCTAAGGAATGCTAAGAGTGGGAGAAACAGTCTTTCCCAGGAAAAGCTCACCAATAGTTTATCCAATAGCAAATAGTCAGCCCTGGAAACATGCATACAAGTAACATTATACAGACTGAGTAGGTCATATTTAGAAGAGTGTGTGTTTGTGTGTGTGTGTGCATCTAACAACAATTAGTAAGAAAAGAGGCCATGACTGTGAAAATGAGCAAGACAGGGATTCTGGAAAGGTTTGGAGGGAGAAAAGGGGGGATTGTGAGATTATATATTCTCAAAAAAAAGAAAAAAAATTAAACTCTAAAAGCAGCATTGATCAGCTAATGAAATGATAGATCAATTAAGGTAGTCTGTTGTAAATTAAAAATACAATGGGTGTTGGGCTTTATTTTGTCTATTATTAGGCCTATTATTATCATGGTAGTATTAACTAACACACTATCACAAATAATAAGACATAGACACCTGTGAGATTTTATAATTGCCTTATTTACCTTGGGTTAGGCAGATATTTTCCTTACACTGTCTCAATATCCTCACCATCCATCCATCTTCCAGCCACCATTCAATGCCATCTGCCTTAATCCTCCTCATCTGGTCTACCTTCCATACATAATCCCATGATACTTGCCCATGGGCCTTTCCATGCCATTACTGGAGTCCTTTTTCCTCGACCATATCGGTTTTTTTTTTCTCCATACTAACCCATCATCATCCCTCATTCCATCCCTCTTCTGATCAATCTGCCCCTTGATTCTCATGATTTTCTCATCCTCAAAAGCTGGGGACCCTTAGCCATGCCTACCTCATTCTGTCCTACCCAGGTATAGGCCATTTAATGAACCAATCACACATAATGTTTTAAGCAGGTATACACAAACAAGGATGGGTGTATCAGACGGGCAGTAACCAGATCTTTAGCACTAGTAATTAGCATTAGGCCCAACCTCCAACAGTAACCCCCTGATTTTTAAACGTCATGAGAGGCAGGTGAGAACATTTGTATAGAATTAAACATCCAAGAATGGGCTTAACAAATATGAAGAAAAAATGAAGAAAGGAAGTTCTTTTGTTTGAAATGGTAAGATTGTACTTGATGAACATTTTTGTTACACTTAGAAGTGTCCAGCATATTTATTTTCTTAAAAGGAATGATATCCTGGTGGTCAGTTTACAAGAAGTCCCATAAAATTCATCTCTGAGAATGTACTTTAATTTGATGCTTTCTTGTTAATTTAGAAAAACTGACCTTATGAACCAAGAGTGGGTGCTACTGAACCTCGGTGTTTACTTCACAAAAGAATTGGCATCCCAGTTGAATAGTTTAGAAACCAGAAATGGTGGATAGATCTCAGACTGCTATTTGTATAGCCATGTGCATGGAATTTGTATTACATTGAGAAATTTTATGCTGTGGAAGTGAGAAGTGGGATTGATTGGTCTGGGAGCATCTGTCCATGAGGGAACCATCTCTCTCCTGGCTCCTGAAGACATGACTAATCAGCCACAATACTCATCCCTCTGGAATTCAGCTACAATTGGCCTACAAGCTTTCCAACATCACCTTAAGGAGACCCATTTGCCACTGTGGTGGAGTGGTGCTCGCGGCATCATTTCACATTATTCACAGTGAGCACTTATTGCTGTATAGTAAGAAAATAATTGGTGCAGAGTCCAGAGGAGGCTGTTTTTATTCTGTTGAAAGGAAACTTGCATTTTCTCTGTCCGAGTTCCATGCTGGCCTCATGCATCTCATTATCAATTCTACGTATAAGACTTTACATATGAAGGTTGATATGGCCATTGTTACTACTCTCACATTCAGCTTTGGGCTGGTGATGTTAGTTCTTCAAACTATTAGATTTATGTAAGTTCCATTAGCTAAATCAGAGACTGTTGCTTATTTCATCTTTCAGTGATGACTGCTGTTGAGTGTTATCTTGTTTTGTTTTAACTACATGATCTCTTTGACCCAAGAGAAAGTTATTATTCCTCAGTAACTCTAAATGATGAATAAGGAAGAAAGAAGCCTCAAAGAGAATTAAGATTTGAGTGTTTAAGCAACTAAAATTCTGCCTTCAGGAAGAAGGGGCGAAGTACCAGCTCTATTACAGGACAGAACTAGAATTTTCTTAAGTGTATTACTTAACACTCCTCCCATTTGGCTTCCTCTGGTAAAGCAGGACAGCAACAGCAGTTTGCTACGTTAACTGTTGAAAGGCTCAAATGAGATCACAAATGTCAAATGCTAACACATTGTCAGGTCAGCGAGACCACAAATACTGGTCTTTTATTGCCCATATTAATTGAAATTAAGAATGCCCCATGACACACTTTATGATTTGAATTAGGAGAAATCATGGCACCTTGTACATGTAAAAAGAGCTACATTAGCACACCAGAGATGATGTTTGCTCCATCGAGAGGACATCTGAATCCTAGCTCACTGTTCTGCCAGTCTGGCCATATCTCATGTCCTGTGAGACACATTCAAAAAACGAGAAGAAAGATGCAACATGGCAGTGAGGGTAAAGTAGTGAGTGCTTGTAACATTGCCTTTGTTGAGTGATGACACTTTTCCCCTTGAAGTAGCAATTCATGTATCAGGTGGAATGTACTGAGGTGATAATGAAGCACTTATGCAGTCACTTTGATTCCTATCTCTTGATCTTCAAAGCCTAAAATATGTCTCACCTGGCCCTTTCAGAAAGCTTGTTGGCCCAAGAATAGGATTCAGGGTGAATTTAAACTATTTATTGACTGCCTGCATAAGCTGGGATGGCAGGAAAGTATTTGAGAAACACAACAGCTGGAGAGGTTCAGCAGACCTCTCTGCAGTAAAGCTTTCTAGCCAGGAAGAAGGCATTACTGCCTTCCTGACTAAATCAGCTTTTTTCCAGTATTCCAAGGGGAGATTAGGGCTTTAGCTCCAAGAATAATTCTCTGGAGAACTCTGCCTACCTTGCTACATAGAGAAGGAAAAATCAAACAAAAACATTTGTCCTATATCAGCTTGTCAATAGCCGCAGTCCAAGTCTGCTTCCCCTGAATTAAAGTGAAGCTGGGGCCTCTTCTTTTATGACTTCAGTGACACAAACTGAGAGCAGAGTGTACAAGGTGAGGGGACAGGTCTGTTTCCTCCTTCTACAGCCTTTCCTGATTTGCTACCTCTGGAACCCTGTGAGGTGTCTGTTGGAAAAATTAGAGATTTTCACAGTAATCCTCTGTGTTAACCCCAAGAGGACAGTCTCTGGCTTTCATAGCTTGTGTCTCTTAATAAGTCTGTGTGACCTTCAGTGCTCCGTTCTTCTACAGAAGTCAGATACTTTTAAAATGCAATTACATTACAGTTATTTGGTTTTAATTCGATAGCATGATTTACTTAAAAGTCACTTACGTCTACTGATGGATCTCTAGTCAGCTAAGCAGATCATGACTTTTGTATTATTTCACTAACCTCTGCTATTTAACTTTGAACATATTCTACACTCTGGTATGGATACAAGCATAAGTTCTTCCTGAATAACTGGAAAAATCACTGTAAGATCATGTTTCTATCGCTGTTTTTATACATACAGCCATTGTGTTAAGTTATCATAAAGGACTATGGATTCCTGAAACCAGTCCACACCTACTGTTCCTGTCACCAAGACATACTCAGTAACTGTTTCAAGTAAACCAGTAGCTCCATGTGCATCTGCTGCCTGGGGCAGTTACCTGATCAAATGTCTTTTGTTTTACTCTCCATATAATGTTTTAAGGAGAGTAGATTTTATCCAATGAGGAGTTTGAAAACAAATAATCAACAAAGACTGCTAACTTTGACACCAACCCACTCTTCATGCGTGTTCTTCCTGTTTTATAATCACCACTGACTCATTTTCTATTCTCTTATTTTTAAAATGCCCCGTTTTCCCAACTCAAGAGTGACTATCAATCACCGCACAGCAGAAAGGTTCAATTTTTATCTTTCATTTCAATTGCTCATCTATCTCTCCTTTCATGAACTGGCTGATGACTGTTTTCTGCAATCGTTCTTGTCTGTCTTAAGCTTTTTGCCTTCGTTAAATTAATAATCCTTCCATCATTACATAGAGAACTGAGCTGATTGTATTTTCCTGTTACCATGGAGATTTCCCACATCTGGTATTTGTAAGTTGTATGTACAGATTATTTCCTTAGCATTCTTTAAGAAGTTAAATATATTTAGTTATGTGATTTTTTTCCAATAAGCAGAAAGAGCCCAAAATTCTGTAAAACACTGAGTTGGTTGCTTTCCTAGATAGAAGGTATTTTATTATTTAACTGGAAGGTGTTTTAAGGTTTTGCCCAAATCTGTCATTACTTGAATTTCTGAACTGTCAGATTTTCCAAGTAATTGGGTCTGTATGTTGTGAACCTAGGAATTTGTACAGGTGTGATGGGTGAGAATGTCACAAATCTGCTCTGTCATCAGGGAAAATAAGATACCCATTCCTATTCAGATAGCTTCTTAGTATTGGAAAATAAAACAGTAAATTCTTAACAGCGTATTAGCAATTATCTTGAGTGGAATACATTGATCACCAAATATGTAAAATATCTGAGAAGAATTAATAAATTATATATAAATAAAATAATTGATGGGCTCAGCTTGTAAGTCAACTTGAATTAATTCTGTAGCGTTAAGCATTATATTTTTTAAAAATAAAAAAACAAAGCAACAACAAAACAGCTTTTATTATACTACTGTCTGGTACAGTGCTTGTCTAGCATGCATGAGGTCCGATGTTCAAT